GGCATGCCAAATCCTAATATAGTCATCACTTGTGGTACAGAAAAGCGATTTAGGTAAATTATAGCAAGATTTGGTTAATTTTCTTCCGTTAAGTTGTAATGTAACCACACAATCTAATGCCATCAGTTGCTTCTATCTGATAGGTTAATTATAGCAAGAATTGGTTAATCACATCTCTATTCTTAATGAGTTTCATTCCACCAGTTCTCCTACTAGACCTTTTCCCTCGATTTTATACCTATCAAGTCAATATGGTTGTTATTAGGTTGCATATTTTCTTGGATAATTAATACTTTTTTTGGTTTTTGTTTAACCTTTTCTTATTTGCATTCGTTGTGATCATCTTATTGTGTTTTTCTAATTGGACTTGTAGGTCGGAAGAGCTTTATGTACCTGTTAAAAAGTTTATCAATTTTATAAATTTTGCTTGTTTGTTTGAATCAAGAGTTGTAACTTCTTAGTCTAAATTATATAGGTGGTTGCAATTCATTTTGATGCTTACAATGTTTAATCCAAATTTAAAACCATTTAACATCATTTGTTGTTACCTTCCTATTGTATTTGGATACTGGAGCTCAAATATTGCAACATAAAGTCACAATTTTATATTGAAAAAATCGTCATTGATTCTTTTATATCATTAAAGTCATACTAGAATTTTATTTTACGCGTTTATGCTAAAATAAGTTGTTTCCTGGTTGCAACAAGCTATAATCGTGATATGGATTAATTTTTTTTTCATGTTGTTAAACGAGATGGATATTTTAACCAAATAGTCAAAGTTAAAGTTAATCTACTTGTGTTTTCTTTCACACTAATTTTCTTTTTACAGAAGTTCATGGTTGGTCTTATTATGTGTAGAACCAAGTATAGCAACCATGTTTTGAAGTATGGTAGACATTAGGTGCTTGAGGGAGAAATTACCCAATTCCATGTAGAATGAGTTTGGTGCTGAACATGCATTTAGTTGAAAAAACACATAAATGTATTTATGTAACTATTGCTAACTATTTTAGTTTTGTTATTGTGTAGGTTGTGGTCTGTAAGAGGGATTAACAAGATTTAAGAAGATAGGAGTAATAGAGTTGGCTTATAATTTTGAGTTAATGCCATCAAAACGACCTTAGCTTAGTTTGTAGACCAGACTGTAGTGTTGGACATTGTCTATCTTTTTTGATGCATATACAAAGTACCTCTTTCATTTTGTACACTTTTTAGCAATGCTCAAAAAGTCTAATTTTGATTTGTTTTTCAATGTTCATATCCTATTAATTACACAAGTATTCAATATCAACGTTCATATCATGTTAATTACATAAGTTCCAATCTTTTGATTAGTGTTTGAAATTCATCCAAAATTCATCTACTTATTGAATGGTTAAAAGTTTTAGATCATATAAATGATTTATATATTAAATTTTGTAATAGTAAGTTTAAGACTCTTAAAATTGTATTGAATTCAAAAGCAATCAATAAATAAATATCATATAATTTTGAATAAATTTTTACATACAATATCACTATAAATTGATATTATTGCACTTAATAATTACTGTACCCTGCATTTAGTGTCCCCATGTTTCAAACATGCATATTTGTAAATTATATAATCTTAATTAAAAGTAACAGTTCTGTTAATTTTTTATATACGAAAATAAAATCATATATAACCGATAAGAATAATTTGAAACTACAAAAATTATTTTAAAAATGATTTGTTTAATTCAGATATAGCTTGGTGTTTGGTTTATTATGCGCACATATGCTTCAAGCTAAGTTATGTTTTGCATAAAAGAAATTATCCGCTTCTTGTTGAAAGTAAAGTAATAGCGAAAAAAACAATTTCCAAAAACGCCTACCAAAAGAAACTAATTATCGATGCCGAAAAAACAGTTTTTTCGCCGCTGCATTGCGCGGGTAGACTACTAGTATGTATATACAAGTATACAAGTAGGAATTTATTCGATCACTTCATCAATGAATAAAATTTTCACATAATTTATTTATTTTATCTATGAAACTTCAATTATAGTGTAATCATAAATGAATAAAAAAGAATGGTGATGGAAAAAAATATTAAATACATGTATAATCATACATGACTAGATAGTAGTTATAATCATACAAAAGAAAAAATCTATTGGTCATCATAAATGAATAAACAATTATAATCCTATCTAAAAAGCAAATAAGTTCTAATAATAATTGAATACAATTTTAGAATGAACTAGTGAAGAACCCCGCTTTGCGGGGTTGGAAACGCCGAAGAAATGGACAAAACGGGAAGATTTTATCGAGTTATATTCAACTGTCAAATCATGAACATTACCCTATCTTTAACCAAAAAGTGCAGCCTCTATGAAGAGCATTAGTCATTCACATCCATTCGCACAAAAACTCATTCAGTCAAAATCCAAGATTCTAACAAAGGGAAATGTACTTTGTGGGTTATTTGATTCTCCATTTTGTTTACCATCTTCAGAGTCCCCCTGGGAAAAAAAATTCAAAATGCTATTAAGGACACTGTAAGTTGTAGTCACTAATTAATATTACTGATATCAAAATGCAAGTAGAATGTTAATATGGGTAACAATTTATAAGTAAAATGCCATTATGTATGAAAATAAGAGCTAGTTTTAGTTTCTAGCTGCAGTCATAAAAGCAGCTAGTTCTAGTTTCAAAGAATTAAGTATTAAAAATCGTTATTCTGGATTTAGTTATACACTTGATTAAATACTATTTACATATAAGAAGTTAAATATGTTAGTTTTAGTTTCTAGCTGCAGTCATAAAAGCAGCTTTTGTTCACCAATCTGTTGTGAATAAAAGACACAAGGGCAAAATGGTCATTTCAATAAAATTTGCAGCAAGGTAGTTAAATTTAAAGATACACCAAGCTTACCATCCCAATCTTGGAGGGATTATTTCACAAGGTAGTTGGATTGTTCTTCTTTCACAAAACCAATACAATTGAAAAGCAATGAACAAAAAAAGATATACATACCTTCTTAATATTTGTAATTGCAAAAAGGCCAAAGTTATTGCTTAAAGTAGCAATCCCCTAATCCTTCACCTTTTAAACAATCCCAAATCTCAATCACCAAAAAAACTTTAAATAAAAATATATATTAAATTCATTCAACTTTTTTCATAAAAAAGAAGAATTCGACTTACATTTCACTTGCATACCTCACAATAGCTGACATAGTAACTTCCATTAAACTTCATGTGCTACCAATGAAGTATCACAAAATTATAAACATATAATGCAAACGAACAAAAAAAACTACTTACTTTTACTTTTTTTTTTTGTTTACTATAGCATGTTAGTGCGTTATCCCTTTTGTAGAAAACAAATACACATCAGGCTATGACCTTGCTGCTCTCACCAGGAGCTTGAACAGTGCTCCATCAACCATAATTCCATTTTGGCAGCCTCTTGGGATCAGCTACATAAGGTGTCAAGGATCCAGAGCAGTCCACAGTAAAGTAAAAAAAAAAAAATTAGAAAAAAAAAACTAACAATTCAACCAATCATAAGGAAGAATGTAAGTAAATAAGTAAATCAGTAATTAGTACCTCTGCCATAGATGTGGTGGGATCTTTGATAAGGTGTTTAAGAAGAATAAGAAAGATACAATTACGATCCATATCAGTTCTTTTCAAAAACAAATTGATATAAAGTTGCAATGTCAAAAACAAAATTTTTTCAATCAATTTGGAACTGGGAAGTAACATTCAAATATATAATATATAAAATGGACCAAAATTATGTTTATAGTTATACACAACTTCCATAGAGTTTTCTAAAATTGATGATAAATGATGACACACAGAAGGAGGATGGTAGAAAATTCTATAATATCATGATTCCTCTCAGACATTTAACCAAACACTTGTTAGGCGCACTCAAATATCTCATCAAATTGTAATTATTTACATCTGATACCTAAGAAACACCTTTTGAAAATTATAAACCTAATGTCAGAAAGGAAGAAAAGAAATCAATAAAATAAATAGATGGTGAACGAAATATAGAATCACCTGAAAAACTGAACCGTGGATTGAGCATAAGTAGTCGTCACTTCTTACAACTCCATCCGAGTATGGTGTTGGTTTAAAAACCCACATCAGACATTACTTGTACAAAACGAAAAGCAAAAATTGTAGACCTGTAACTGCACAAATTACATAAAAAAAGTATAAGATGCTGTGGTTTGATTAGAATCGTTTTAACTGTACGGTGAACTTTAATCAAAGGTTGACCCTAAATCCCATAAACGCATGAAAACTGACAGTCGAATCTATGTAGTTCGTCATGAAGAGATGGAAGGGTTCTATGGCGATGTTAGCAGAACACCAACTCAAATTAAACCCACATGCAATCGAAATATGGAGGTAATCGGGAACAGAAATAGGCAACTCGGCAGCCAAACCACCTCCGTCGCACACACCGAAGACCACAACAGGAAGCAGATCGATTTCGATTACCATGAAAACAGGAATAGGAAAAATCGATTTCGTGTAGAATTTGTAGAATTTTTGAAATTAGAATGGGAATTTCAAAAAAACTTACTATAAGACGCAGAGGTTTTGAGCTCGATTTTTCACCCTAAATCTTGGAAGGAGAATAGCAACCGATGAACTCATTGTCGCCACCAAGACCTTGAAAAATCCTCCAAACTGCGAAATCTTGGAAGGAGAATAACAACCGATGAAGTCAGATGTCGATGAGTTTAGAGAGAGACGGAGGGTGTTGGAGAGATAAGTTAGATGAGGCGGTGTTGAGAGGTGGATGTCCGTATCTCATTGGAAGAAGTTGAAGGTGGCAAAAGGACGTTCTTTCTTCTCAAAGAAAGACTGGAATCTTGAAGAAAACAACGATGATTATCGGTTGAGGAGGCTGTGGTGAAGTAGATGATTATCTGATGGAGGTGGTAAGAGAAAAAACGAAACAAATGAGATAAGGTGGTGGAGAAGATATTGAGGCGGTGGAGTATATGTTCTCTGCGTCTGATTGGAAGCATTGGGCGGTGGTATCAGCCTATCAGACCAGTGAACGGTGGAAAGCAAAGAACACCACCACGTGTGGTAAATCTGGAGCAGAATGCACGTGTAATCCACTGTGTCAAAGTATCACGATCCTATATCATAGAACATAACACGTAGCAGCAGTTGGTGGCTCAAAGAAAACCCAAAAAAAAAATATAGAAAAAAAAAGTGGTCCAATAAGATAAAAGTACTGTTCCAAAAGGAACTTCTAAATTAATATATATATATATATATATATATATATATATATATATATATATATATATATATATATATATATATATATATATATATAATGACGGTAGTATCTTTATTTCTTTCAACTGGTCCTCTTAGAAGACTCAAGTGTTCAACTCTAATTTTGATTATTCCAACTGGTACATGTTTCTTTAAAAATCTTGGAAACTCCCATGAACCATATCAAAATCATAAAAAATCATCCATGAATATGATACCATCGACAAACTCTATTATCCCTTCATCAAATGAATAAAACATAAATTATATATAAAATTCAATACAACATGAACCATAAATGAATACTACACAATGTAGACTATAGAAAATAAAAAATAGTTGTCATCATAAATGAATGAAACCTTAATTTTTTTACTCTAAAAACTATATAAGAAAAAAGGTCACAATTATAATTCATAAATATAATACCAAAGCTTCTCTCGAATTTTAAAAAAAAAAAAAAAAAAAAAAAAAGGATGAAAAATGAATTTTAAACTAAGCATATCATGAGAGGATAGTCAGTCCAAAAGAAAAAAAAATATGTACGGTCAAAAGGATTATATGAAATTCATATATATTTATTTTTTAATCTTCAATATTAATCGCAATTACAAAACAGGTGATCGTTACATGGCATTATGTGTTACCACAAATAAGAAAATATATATTAAAAAAATAAAAAAAATAGTTATTATATATACTATTAATTGTTAAAAAGTTCGCAGAAATCTTTTAGAATTTAGATTTGTGCCACAAATTTTTGTGGGTTTTAAACATTTGCCACAACGCTTTTCTTTTCCGATTCTTATCTTTTCTTCTTTATCTGTTTTGATTGTGCCGCCCTTCTCCTTCAATATAGGACTCTCCACCGCCCTTGACTACGTCTCTGAATATATTCCTCATGCTTATCGGATTTCTTCGCTTGATAACTCCTCCGCTCTATTCCCATTGTTGCATTTCAATCCAACGATGAGGTCGACTTCTACTACTTATTTGCGTTTCTATTTTGCATCCGCGTCTATCTTCGTCTGCTCTTGGCGGTCTCTATTTCTTCTTTAGGTATGTGTTGTAATTCCTCTTATAGATTCTCATGTCGGCAGTTTTCTCGCCTTCTAGATACTTCCAATCCATTAAAGGTACGGTTTTGTTACTTCAAACTGTATTTCATTTGGCACGCCAGGTGTTCGATGTAATGTTCGATTAATATCAGTTTTAAAGTTGAAGAGTGTTGTTGCTGGAAAAAAAAAATTGTGACGACGCTTTGACGAGAAACGCATCTGCTACTGGTCGGTCATGTATTTATCATTCTTATATTCAGAGCACGATTCATGCAGGAAGGTAGGAATCTAGGGGCTTATGCTCCATACTTCGACCAGTTACCTGATTATATGATGTTAATAATTGCAACGCACAGCTTAATGGTTCTGTTGATGACTTGATGACTGGTGCATGTTAGGGTGGTGCTAAGGTGGTTCAGCTAGCTCTGCATATTAGTGACGCTGTTGAACATGAGGTCAGTTGCAGCAGAAAACTCGGCTGTTGAACATGAGGTTAGTTGCAGCAGAGAAGTCGGTTCTTTATATTCCCTTTTATAACATTCAAATATCGAAGTGTTCCTTCTTTCTGATATGATAAATCAGGCAAGAATACATAGATTAATGGACAGATCTAAACGAAAGGCTTTGTTAAATGAGAGCCCTGATGATTGTTCAGAAGTTGTGAATAACGACCCTTTATTGTTTCAACTTTGTATTTTTTTTAGTAGATTGATTTCAACATATGGGTTGTCATTCAACCATAGATTGAAAGATTGAAGGATGTAGAGGATTCTTTCGGTCATGAATGGAAGGAAGTAGGTATTTTGTTTATTTTTCTTCATTTTTATAGCAAAGGTTTTTTTAAATCGATTTTACCGCTTCTTCGGTTCGTCTCTACAGTGAAGTCAACTGGCTCATAGCAGCACAAATGTCAACCCAATTTGTCAACCTTATCTTCACTAATATCGGAAGGATCAGCTTAAAGTTTTGTTTTTCTTTTCTCTACTCAATTCTCAATTGGGGACCAATATTTTGCTGCTTTGGTTCTTAATTTTAGGGATGGTAAGTTTGATTAAATGTTGATTGGTTTGCCCAGCAGGTGAAAAAACTCCAGCACCATCACTATCTATGGAGGTACCCATATATTCCCAATTCCTTCCCCCTCAAAAAAACCTACTGTGAATTCATTTTTTTTTGGTTAAACACAATAAAAAGCAATACAATCTAAACAAAAAAAAAAAAAAACTCATTCTTATTTTACACTTATTAGCCCCAAAAACAAAAAGGAAAAAAACCTTATATGCGTCGAACCGGTTATGAACCGTTTTGAAAAAACCGGTTTCGGTAAAACCGAACCGGTTTATATAAGTTCGAATTTTTTTAGGGTTGGACCGGTTTGGAACCGAACCGGTTTCCAGGTAAACCGGTTTTGACTTGATAATTATAGACCGAAAAACTATTCATACCTTTTTCTTTCCAACATTATTAACATCTTCATTCTGTTCATCAGCTTGAGAATGAGGAAAACCATAGACAGGCTAAACGCCAGATTGAACGTGAAAAAGGCCGCAGAGAAGTAGTTGCAGATATGTCAGAAGACTTATCAGAAGGGGAAAAAGGAGAAAACATCAATGATGTATCTGTTCATATAATCCGTATTCCATTTGGTCCAAAAGACATATATGTCCCTAAAGAGCTTCTATGGCCACATGTCCCTGAATTTGTTGATGGAGCACTTGGACACGTCATCCAAATGTCCAAAGTTTTGGGTGAGCAAGTTGGTGGTGGATACCCTGTATGGCCTGTTACCATTCATGGTCATTATGCTGATGTTGGTGACTCAGCAGCTGCCAGACTGTCAGGTGCTCTAAATGTTCCCATGCCTTTTACTGGTCATTCACTTGGAAGAGATAAGTTGGAGCAGCTTTTGAGACAGGGGAGATTGACAAAACATGAAATCAATGCTACTTATAAGATCATGAGAAGAATTGAAGGTGAAGAGAATAGTCTTGATGCCTCTGACATTGTTATCAGTAGGACTAGACAAGAAATAGAACAATGGAGATTATATGACGGTTTTGACCCTGTGCTTGAAAAGATACTTAGAGCTAGGATAAGGCGGAATGTTAGCTGTTATGGAAGGTTCATGCCTCGTATGGTTGTAAGTTTCCAAAAATACCCTTTATCCATAATCCAATATTATGTACATTTTGTGTTATTTTTGGAAGAATCACGGAAAAAAAAGCTTTTAAAAATTCTTGTCAATTTGTGGTTTAATCTTTTATCCACTATTATATACTTAAATTTTTTTTCCAATAAAATCATGGAATTTTTAGACATTTTTCTTTATTGACCATTTTGACCGGATATAATAGGCAACCTATCAGCCGTCTTTTGTCATTCTATCTTCACGGAACAAGTAAGCCCTAATTTTTCGATTTCACATCAGTAATTAAATATTCATGGATTTCCATATCGTCTCAGTTTACTATTGAATTTTTTTTTATAAAATTTTACTAGATTGATTTGAACGGGTTGCTATTCAATCAAGGATGGAAGGATTGTATCTAATCTTCTTTCATGTTCAGTTATACATAGAGAAGACTGCCCTGTATTTGATGAGTACAAAGTATGTATTTGATGAGTACAAAGTATGTGGTGTTTGCTTTTTTACAAAGTTTGTCTTATATTTTAAAAAATTAATTACATTCTTGCCATTTTCAAAGGTTCTTGAAGGCAAAGCTTATCGTCTAAATCATCCATGGGTGGGAACTATGAACAAATCAGAAGCTGATTTTATAAAAAATACTGATATGATATACGCAAGGTGAATGGAACAGGAGTATTTTTATACAAGTACTGATTATGGACACCTGGTGAGTAAAATGGGTTCAGAATATCTACCAAAGCTTCTCTCACAGGTAAGGTCATTTTGATCTTTTCTTCTTTAAAAGCAATGACTTATAATATCATTTTTTTTGGATGATTTTATTAATAGCATTTGGAATCTGTAATTAAAGCAAAAAAAACCGGGAATTATTTCCCTGATAAATAAAGGTTTTAAAGAGCGGAAGCTGAGTTGAATCGCCTTGGAAGACCAATTGCAGTTGATGATGGAGTAAGAATCATTTTTTTTAAATGCTGATTTATTATTTTAAATTGATTGGCAGAGTTCTAACACGAAATTTATTATGCAGTAATTGATGAAATTACCAACCTTAACGATAAGGTGATGCTTATTCATGTTACATGTGGTTTGTCTACTTTATTTTATTGTGATAAGCAGTTAACCATTAACTGATATTTATTCGTGTCACTTCTTTTGGATCCCAAGACATGAAATCATTAAATCATTGGATTTACATAAAAGAGTAAGGTTACATATTTTTTTTTTGTATAAAACAAATTTTCAAGTTACTTCTGGGTAACAAGATTGTAATATAATTTAAAAAAAAATATATTATATGCAGGCGAGGACACTATGACGTTTGCAAAGGACCGGAACTCACTATAATTTTTTCCCAATTCTTAGAAAGGTAAATGGTGTGTTCCAATTTTTAATCATGTTTACTCTTTCACTCATCATTTCTAAACATTAATGAAACTTCATATATGGGTATTTCCGTACTTTACCAATTTTTACTTTTGCAGCCTCCATACTCCTTTCTTGTGACATTGGAGGAAAAGATGCAAAGTCGCCCGTTTATGAAGCTATACACAAGTTGACATAAGATTTGTATGAGTCAAATGACATTGCTGCCCTTGCCCCTTCACCTCTGCCTCCCCTACGACTTTCAACAATCGGGATCTCTGGTAACTTGTGTAACTATTATCTATTATTGACGGTTGTGTAATTGGTTTAGGGTTGCCAAATATATCATGTATATGATTAATTAATTAATTTTATGTTTTTAATTAGTTATTCTTGCAATTGTTTCTTAGGCAAATTTCCGGTAATAGCAATGTACTTTACCATGAACTTCATATTTCTTAAACATAAATAGCAACTTTTTGACAAAATTTAGTAAAAAAAAATGAATTTTGTTACTCAATTGTGATTATGTTTCATAGTAATTGTGTGTCACTTTGTTTTCATTAATATAATATTATGTTCTTCTACTTGGTACAGTTTCAAATAAGGAAAAAAAACAAAAACAAAAACAGCGCCAAAGGCGCGCATGATTCCCCTCTAGTTGTAATGAATGAATGTAATTAATTCTATGACAAACGTTCTGCAAGTCGCCTCACCAAATGTCTATCATAAAATTTGAACCGGATCAGTCGACTATAATTAAAATAGTTTATTAAAAATTGAAAAAAAAAAACAAAAAAAAACAATACCACAAATGAATATGTTGTGTCCCGAAAATTCCCACCTTTTGATCCATTGACACTAGCCAAAGCCGCAAGAGGAATCGAGATCCGCCCTTTCTTCCGACCGAATAAAATATCATCTATAAAGAATCATAGTATGCTCCTTCTTGAATCAATCTGAATGTTAGGAAACGAGATGAAAGAAAAACGGGGCATTGTTTACTGCTTGAATTAATCTGTAAGAACATAAATACTAAATTCGTTGTTTTTATGTGTATCTATTGTGAATTCTCGATAGATAAGTGAGATACATAAAGAAAGGTGATGAGTAGAAGAGCTCAATTTTATTCTGAATAGACGTTGATGAAAAAAGGAATGTTGTATGTTGATCGAATGAAGAAGGAAACTGATCCCTAAGTTATCTCTAGAGAGAGATAATTACGTTATTCAATCTAATTTAATGGACAGAAAATATTCGATATTCCTTAAATACCCTTTAACTTAGTTCAAAAGTTACAAATTAGTCTGATTATCAACCTTAGATTTGAAATTTTGAACAAATGTGATATGTTCTTGCATTCTCAACATTTTGGGGTTCTCGATTTAACCTGCCTGATAATGAAATTATATGGCTTAAATGTCGCATCGAGTGAATAATAGAGCATACACATTGAATGACCAACATAATAGATTATCGAGTATATTACATAAATTGTCCAGATGTTTTTTTTTCACTTTTAGTTTAAATATATTTTTATTTCAATTGCAATACATACCGTTCTCACATTTTTTATTTCAATTGCAATACATACCATGTGCCCTAAATGTACACATAAAGGTATTATTTATGATAAATATTACTATAATGAAAGAGAAATCGAGAAATTTAACCACTTTTTTGTTTATAGTTAACAACAATGACCATTTTTTTATACTAACCACTATGTCTCTGGAATGGAAGTTCCGAAGCAAACCAAAACGGGCCAAGGCCACTACTATTTCCCAATGCTATATATATATATATATATATATATATATATATATATATATATATATATATTATATATATATATATATATATTACTACTTTATAATGTATATATAATGGAGCTTAAATCATAACCTTCTATTTTACATCTAATGGTTTAAAATCATAATCTTTGTGAACAAAAACTACTTTATAATGTATATATAATGAGGAGACCAAAAGTTTTAAGACTAAAGTCTTAAAACAAAGAGCTTAAATCATAACCTTCTATTTTACATCTAATGGTTTAAAATCATAATCTAACAAAAACTAACCAATCAAAAACAAATTAAATTTACAAATACAAAATCACACAATATAAAACCAACAGCCGGTTAATATAATTTACAAAACCTTTCATTATTTTTCATTCACTCTCTCTCACCTCATCCATGAACTCTCCTCAATTCTAATCGAGCCATAAAACCACAAACCTTGACCACCGACACCTCCACCTATGTCTCACCATCGCTGCAACCTATTTCATCCAGTAGCGCCACCTGCGAGTTACTCTCTATGCACCGCCTGTGCGACAACCCCACCGCATCACATGCGAGCCACCTTCACCGCCACGACCCCTACCGTTCACACATCTGCCAAACACCAATAGTTCTCAGCATCTTCATCAAACCATAGATCTAAAATTGTGGTTGCCACCATCAAGATTCTCCACCATCGCATGCATATGTCGACGTCGCTGCTGAACACCCTCGATACTATGAGGCACCTTGAAACCCTAAATCTATATCATCGTCATCTCCATAACTCTCAAACACTCACTTTATCTTCCGAAGTCACTATTGGATTAGATAAGAAAATATAAAAGCAATATATGGCTTTTTTTTAGACAGATCTCTATTAGATCAAAAAATATTTAGGTAATGGTGCCTGTTTCTTTACGGATCTTGAAAGAAGTATGTGTTAGATCTGTTTTAAGATAAAAAAAACATGTCCTCATATTTAATGCGTTAATGTTTTCTATATTTAGATCTATGTATGTGCAAGCTATAAATCTGTTTCTATGTTAAAGATATGTAATTTGTCTTTTAATTATATATTTATATATTAGAATTGGTGAGATGCATGAAGATTAGATCCAAGAAAAGGAATGTAAGTTTTTTTTTGACAAAATTGCAAAAATGGTCCGTTTGGTTGTCAAATTTCTGCAGTTTTGGTCCAAAACGAAATGTTGGTGCACGATTGGTCTAAAATTGGATCTTTTTAGTGTTTTTGGTCCCTGTACACTTAAAATGATTATTATGCCCTTCATATTTGTATTTTTTATTTTTTATATTTATATTATTGTTTTTAATTATTAAAAGTCTCTCTCTCTCTCTCTCTCTCTCTCTTAAGAACACCCTCCAGATGCTACCCTCTCAAGAACATCCAACATATCCCACCATTATCATTTACGACCACGATCCGCCTACTACCATTTTCGTTCACTACCACCATCCGCCTTTCATCGTCGCCGTTTACCACCACCATCCACCTGCTACCATCCTTGTTCTCCACCATCCCCTTAAGAACACACACAATCATTCTTTCTTACTCCTCCTGCCATTATCTCCATTCGTCACCACCGTTCGCTGCCGACTGCCCGACCACCTCCATCTCCCCCACCATCACCTCTCCTTCCCTAACCTGAACCATTCGCCAACACCATTCACCTGAAAAATCAAACCAAAACGTCGAAAAATCGACGGATTTAAAGAAAATGGTGGATGTTGAACCACAGATCCATCTTTCTCCAGAGGCGGTCTTGAACCACAAATTGTTCTATGCGTTGAAATGTGGATTGATGTCGATTTTGTTATCGAATGGCCGATGTTGCAAAAGGTAGCTTGAAGGGAACAAGTGAGGTTGATGGTGGCGACGCAATCAGAGCAAAAGAGAGTTGAGGGCCAGGGTTCTACTTCCCCGACCTCCTTCTCCCAGATCAACTTCTACTTCTTTCGAACAAGATGAGGATAAGAGGATACGAAGTCAATTTAAGTCAATTTCAAGGATCTGAGATTGAAATTGACCTCCTAATTCGAGCTAAAATCAAACAATGGTGTAGAAATCGAGCAACCGTGGGGAACGTGACGACGATCGATGGTGGTGATAGTCCAGTTGTTCCGGGTGGTCGATGACGGCGAATTTAGGGTTCTTCAGTTGAATCTTTCACTTGATTTTGTGATTCCAGTTGTTCGAGCCTAAGTTTGTTAATGACATCTAGATGTCTCGCCGTCGTATCATGTATCTTGTTGTGGATCTCGCAATGGAAGCCGCCACCGGAGCTAGGGTAACAGAGTCGCCGTCGGAGTGGTGGTGATGGTGGTCTTATTTTAGGGTGTGACTTAACTGGAATGGGTGGTCCGATGATGGTGTAGAGAGAGAGAGTGGTGGGTTTATTTTGTTTTTGTTTTTTATTTTATTAAGAATAAAAAAAATAAAAAAATTAAAATATAATTATTTAAAGAATATATTTGTCATTTTAGGTGGGATGTGGACCAAAAACACAAGAAAATACAACCATAATTTTAGGTGGGATGTGGACCAAAAACACAAGAAAATATAACGATAAGACCAAAACCATATAAGGTATCTAAAATTGGACAAGTGGTGTAAAAACATTTCATTTTGGACCAAAACTACATAATTTTGCCAACCACAGGGATCATTTTTGTAATTTTGTCTTTTTTTTTTTGAAGAAAAATGAATGTTTACATTCTCCCATTTTTGCTAATTTTTACACAATTAATGTTCATAATATTTTGGTATTTTTCCTTTATAGGTTACAGATATATTATTTTCTGTTTATAGATTATGTTAGTCTTGATTTCTTGATAAAGATGATTTACTAGAAAGAAAAAGAGACCATGAAGGTAAAGAATTTCATTAGATTAACTTAAAATTATTATAAAAAAATGATAGAATATAATAATATATATGTTTGTGAGTTTTGCACATGTTTCTTTAAAAGTAATTTGGAAAATATGGGTGTTTCCGTCGCAATATATGTGTTGTATTATAAGGAACTTCATCTTGGTTAATTATGGAACTAAAAATGCAAAGTGATTGCAAAATAGTGAAAAAAGAAAAAGAAATATAAATGAAAGGACATTATATATGCTGTCAGTTGCAAAGAAAATCGAACAAATGCTTTTATTTTGTTCATTGTCAAGAAAAGTTGCAAAGAAAATTGAACGAACTTTTATTTTGTTCATTGTCAAGAAAAGTTATGAACATGATAGATCAACGCTTTAATAAAATCAGATAATGTAATGTAGTTACAAATTCAAAACAAAAATAGGTGATATAATGTAGTTACAAGTTCAAAGCAAACAACAAAATACGTTAATTGTTTCATAAATTTAAAACAAACAACAAATACTCTAAATAGATTAATTGTTTCATAAATTTAAAACAAACAACAAATACTCTAAATAGATTAATTTCGTTTATCACGTATTTAAATTTATCCATAAAATTTAACGAGCTCCATCCCTATCTTTTGTACGCATTAAAATTATATTCTAAAAACACTTTTTACTATGATTTAAATTTAAAATAAGTTCATAATAAAAAATAGACATCTGTCATCGAAGGCTTACTAATAATATTACACATATTCTATATTATTGTTTGTTTTAATTTTTAATATATTAAATATAAGAATATAACAATTATATATACTTTAGTGTTCATAGCTATTATGTAATTTACTCATCGATAAAGAATATAAATAAATTTATGAATATATACATTAACTATGTTTTATATTTAATTATTATTTTCTTTATTTTAAACAAAAATAAAGATAGGATAGTTCACCAAAATTTCAAAAAAGGTGTGAGTTGTCACTACTTGCATATAAAGTATAAATTCGGAGTAAAAATAAAACTTTGTAGGCTCTAAAGTATTACGTGATAGAAAAATAATTAATATATATGTATAAATGATTTTGATAATAAAATAACAATTATAAACTTTAAAATTTTTGAATGTTAAAAATAAAAAGAAAAGAATAAAGTGCAATGATAAATATGAGTATATTACCTATAGGCTTTTGAAAGCATCGTTAATAGGGAGCTATGGTTTTAGATTTTCAAGAAAAAATGACAATAGTTGTCTATTTTTATCGGAAGTTGAAAACAAAAAAAAGGAGTTTTTGACCAAGATGGTGTTTTTGAAAAAGATATTTACCGAATAGGTGTGGTTTTAAAAATATTTACCAAATAGGTGTATTTTTAAATTTTTTTATTTTTCTTAAAATTCAGTTTTTTTAATCATTTTGCTGATTTTTTTATCATACATTTTTTATTTTATTTTTTACTTTTTGCTATAAAAAAGGTGTTTCTTTTGTTTATATACATCAAACAAGAGAAAAAAATGGTTTGTACACTGCTCAACGGTTTAGAAAACAAAAAAATGAGAATGTTTTTTTTTCTAATTTATTATTATTATAGTATCTACATAAGAAATAAAAATCATTTTCTTATTGTTTTGTATTATTCGTTGAGTTTTTTTTTCTTGTTGTATCTAAACTTTAGATATACAAAAAGAAAAGAATTGTGTATTTTTTGTTAATATATACCAAATCAATTGAAAAAAAAATTGTTTGCTGGTCTTGTTGGTTTAAATTAAAAAAATTATTGGTACAATGTTTTAAGTACAAACCAACAAAAATTTTAACAAATACAAAACAAAATAAAAAAATATCTGAAATAGCTTGGTTCGATAACCATTATTTGAAAAAAAATTAAAAGAATAAGACATAAAGTCGAATAAACTAAACAAAATATACGAAAACATATTCAATATTTTTTTGTTTGGTTCATTCGACCCTTTTTTCTTTTCAGATAGTGGTTATCGAAATAAGCTATTTCGAAATTATTTATTTTGTAAGAAGCAATTGTTGGTTTTGTAAACATTATACCAACACTTTTTTAATCTAAACCAACAAAGACTTTTTATAAAAACTAACAAACAATTTTTTTTTTCAATATGAACCGATAAATATCATTTTAAGTAAAAACCATCTGAATAATTAATATACTAATAAACTGGAACATGGGAAAACAATTCTAAAATTAAACAACTGATTTGGTATATATTATTTTTAAATATATACATGTCGTAACAAAAAAATAAGAAAAAAAAAACCATTCACTTTTTTTTGTGTTCTAATCCTTGGAGCAATGTACAAACCATTTTTTTTTCTTTTTTCTCTTATTTGATGTATATAAATAAAAGAAACACATTTTTTATTGCAAAAAGTAAAAAAGAAAATAAAAAAAAGTATGCTAAAAAACAGCAAAATGATTAAAAAAACTGAAATTTTAAGAAAAAATAAAAAAATTTAAAAATACACCTATTTGGTAAATATTTTTAAAACTACACCTATTTGGTAAATATTTTTTTCAAAAACACCATTTTAGTCAAAAAGTCAAGAAAAAAGGCTTTCAATCAAGGTTTTTATATTAAAAATATATTTTCAGTTAAAAGCATTTTAAATTCAGTTTTTAGACTTAAATTTCGAATTTTTTAAAAAATACTCTTATGATATTTTTATCATATGTTTGAACAAAAAGAATCGAATAGGCTAGGATAATTGGAGATGTAAATAATTTGTTGTTTAAAAAGTTGTTTTTAAATTTTGTATTTTTATTATAAAGCATGAGTGAATATGTATAGACTCGAAGTTAATTCTAAGTGCCATGTGTTTTAAAAAGATTAACAGATGAAATAAAACTATTTACTGGTAAAGAAATAATTTTTGGAAGGAAAATAATCGTCAAAAAAACTCTCTTCTCAATCTGACGCCGGTCAATTTACGAATATTTTCATAACAAAAAAAAATATATCTATTTTTTACTAAATGAGTCAATATAAAACCACAACATTCATTTGTACATAACTTCCAATAGGAAACTACTCCAAAATAAAACTATTCACTGAAAATAATATTATTCACCGGGGAGTGGTCACACCCAACTCATAGACAAAGTGTTGTCACTCTATGCCACATCAGCTTCACCACCAACTCACCATCAACCCACTAGACAATGGAGATGATTACCACTTCACATCATTTATATTTATATTTTTATAATTTTAAAACATTAGATTAAATAAAAAAAACATTATTATAAACTTAAATACTCATTTTACTAATTAAAAAATCAAATAAACATATTATTAATTTTTAAAATTAAATAAACATAATTATATATAAGGTTTAACTTAATTCAAATTAAAGTGAAAGGGTATAATAAAATTAAATGACAGAATCTCATGAACCAAATTTGTAACTTCAATTAAAACATATACAATATCAGCCAGTTGTCTTCTTCACCCGATTTCTGTAAAATGGGTACATCCATTTCTTTTTTTTTCTACTTGGATGGATTAAAAGAAAAAACCAACGAAATTAAGGGGCAAAAAAGAAGCAACCAATAGGAAGCTCCGTCTTCCGATTCACGTCACACCCAGAACACCGGCCTTTGGGGCGGTGTTAACGCGTCTTCGGTCATGCCACATCAGCATCACGCGTCTTCAAGGACGCCTACTCTAGGTAACCTAAACGAACGTATTCGTCATGTGCCTATCAAAAGGAAAATAATCGCAAACAGAAAATATTCTTGTCGTGGCATCGCGCGGGTATCCTACTAGTATATATATATATA